CCCCCCCCCCCAGTGACATCGCTGTCACTAGCTACTTTATACTATGGCGGCAGGGGTCAGTAGTTTATTGTTGGATATCGGTAGCGCTTACATGATCATGTATTATCTTAAGGCAGTGGTTCTCAACCTTCCCAATGCCGCGACCCTTTAATACAGTTCATGTTGTGGCGACCCCCAACCACAACATTATTTTCATTTCTAATTCATAACTGTACAGTACGGTATATGTGTTTTCCGATGGCCTTAGGTGACCCCTGTGAAAGGGTCATTCGACCCCCAAAGGGGTCGAGAACCGCTGTATTTAGGGGTCGTCCATTAATTATGTCAATAAATTGGGGGGAGGGGGAGTTCGGAAATGTCTGATACTTGTTGACAAGGGGAGTGGGGTAGATGAGTTGACGTCAACAATCGTGTCTTCTCTATTAAAATTTTAATCTTAAAAATTGACTGGTTATTACATTATTTTAACAAATTTAATGAGTGTAATCTAGGCTGGTCACCATTGGAGAAACGACGACGACAATCCAGGCTCTCCATGATGTACAAGATAAATAATGGGCTGGTCCACTGTTCCGGTATTAAACAGAAACTCGTCCCTCTCCCCCATAGACAGCGACGAGGCCATGACAGGCAATTCAGGCTCATACCAGCAAGAAGCCAGTATAGGAGCTGCTCATTCCTGCCCAAGACAATCAGGGACTGTTCAAGCCTTCAAACCCCTAGTGCATAATTTCCTCATCACCACCAGTAACAGAAACATTGCAAATCCCATCTACATGCATAGGAGCCAAAATGATCAATAAATTGATCGTGGGCCCTTAAGATATAGAAGAAGAAGAATTAAAATAGTTGTATAATTTTTAGGATTTTTATTAACAATGTAAGATTTATTGTATTATTTTGTATGTGTGTCTGTCTGTGTACTGATGATGGCTGGTCAGAATGTTAGCACATTTAGTTACGGTAGTGTAAGAGAAGTCAAAAGTTGACCTCTCTTCACCTGTAGATTCTGTTTGTCGCAAATGAGTAGGGCGGTATGTTTGCGATTGTGTTGCAGGTATGAAACAAGGTTCAAGTGTAATGTGCAGTCAAGATAAATGGTATTGATAATAGAGTAGGTAAACGATATTTTGAGAATTAGGGGAAAGTAAAGTGAGTAATAATAACATCGCTGCTTGAACGGATTAGCAAAATGGGTAACATCTGTTATCAATGTTGCATCACAAGTCATGCTGAAATAGCAAGTTCAACAGCAACGACAATGCATAAGAAATGACCATCTGCTGCTCAACAAAAAAGGATTCGGCCAATGCTGGTAGTTGAAGTAGCTGCCAGGAGACAGAGAGAGCTTATGGCTCACACTGACAATGCTTATATTTAAATGTAAGTACTGAATGTTTAGATGAGTATGATGTTGACTTGTCTGGTACATCAGTTCTGCAAGATGAACAATGATCAATCAGACGGTAGTGCAACGCCTGGCTACTCCCTGGGAAGACCATAGCAGCGAGAAACTATGCTACAATCGTCAGCTTTACTGACAATCATATTTATTCTTCCATAAACAATGATAATTAGTCTTTAACTTTAACAATCTTTTCATTGATTCTGCATTATAAAATGTAAGTATAAAATCTTGTTGATTAAAAAAAAATGTTCCTACAATTTCGTGTTTTTAAAATAGATCAGCACAAAGTAAAATGTATTTATATTATAATTCATTATATTTTTTTTTATTGTGTGGGGGGGGGGGGGGGAAAAATTTTGAAAGTTTGACAGGTGTTGAGGGGGGGGGGGTCCAAAATTGCTTAAAAATTGTTGACGTAATTAATGGACGCCCCCTAAGGTATTCAAAGGTTCTCTTTTAGGTTTTATGGCATCTGTTTAAAATCTCCCAATGCGTTTAGCATCTGGTCTTTATCGAGTCAGGGGAGAGGAGACCGTGAATTGAATGAATGATGTCCCTTATCAGAGACACTCCTTCTTGTTGGCATTACTCAAGAACGAAACACTGGGCCTATACCCATAATAAATGTCTCGCCAGAGGCATGGCTCGCTTGTGCAACACCATGGACTATTTGGACACATCCTACCCGACAGAAAAGAGTAGAACAAGGTTAGTGGAAGCTTGAATAGAAAGACATGACAACACAAGAAGACAGGACAACACAAGAAGACAGGACAACACAAGAAGACAGGACAACACAAGAAGACCATTTCGACCAAGAGCCTTTCCTCTGCAAACACCAACAGAACAAATGAAAATACAAGAAGAAATAGTAGTTCAATAACGCAAGTGATCGCCTTTGCTATTGCCGAAAGTTGGCTTTTCCAAAACGAAGATGACAGGACAGAAAGGTATGGAGTTTATGTATCATTATTGTGAAAAATAAGATTTCAACATGCGATTACTACCAGACAGCTCATGGGAACCGGTGTGAAAGACTTTCTTACTACCAGACAGATCATGGGAGCCGGTGTGAAAGACTTTCTTAGAAACCGGATTTTAATTTTCAGACGTGGAAATTTCAAATCTTGACGTGATAATCAGAACAGGGCCCCCCTACTACTACATGTCTCCCCATGTGTTATCCTAACTGTAGCTCTAACCCTAACCCTACTACTACATGTCTCCCCATGTGTTATCCTAACTGTAGCTCTAACCCTAACCGAATCATTTCAATTAACCTTAAACTTAAAGCACACACCAAAAAAAAATTAAAAATAAATCCTTAACCAATCAACCTCGCTAACGTGTTTGTAAACTTGTAACACATGTGACCAGAGGCGTAGCGTGGTGGGGGCAGGGGGGGCAGATGTCCCCGGGCGCCAGCTAGTCAGGGTCGCCAAAATGTGCTTTGATATTATTTTATTGATCAAAATAATGGGTTTGAGGGTTGAAAAAAATAAAAAGGGGCGCTAAAAATGGATCTTGTCCCCGGGCGCCTAACACCCTCGCTACGCCACTGCATGGGACCTACTCCATGTCAGATTGTCTGACACACGACAGGAGAGTTCAATACGACACCGCCATGTTGTGACCGCACTATCAATCAGCTGCTTTAATCTGGTTTCTCCACCATGCAGGTTTGTGTTTTCATTTACATCACCATCATCCACAAACAACTCTGCAAGCCTAAAAATGTGATGTTACATATTAAAATCTAGTAAAAACTTTTATCACCCAAACACGATTCATACGACTGTCCACTGTTGGTTGCGCTACTATACAGACCAAAGCGTCTAATTAAATGGGGACGGCTGCCATTTTAAACTCGTTGCCTGACTAGCAATTTAAAAAAAAAAATAATTTAGGAATGTCTATTAATAAAATAATTTTCCTTCACAAACTCAATATTACATTTTAAAAGTGGTTCTTGATAATTATATCTATTTTGTTTTCATCGACGGAAGATTTAATTACACTTTTCTTTCCTTTTTTTAAAAAAAACATCTTAAACACTCGATTCTTTTCTCTCTGTAATTTACCGCTTGAACTTGAATAGGAAATAAGTAAAACAAAGTAAGTTTAAACCTGAAAAAAGGAACGCAACAAACAACGAACGTGTCGGCAAAAAGCCTTCGTCAGCGAACAAACATAAAAAAACAGAATAAAATTTTAAAAAATAGCACTTAGCTGAGAAGTAGTATCCGAGAGGGCAGCCAATGAATTGTGACAGAAAGTAAGTGGGAGAGAGATTTAATAGGGAGGAGGGAAAGTAGGTGGTTGACAAGTCTAGATCAAGGCTTTTAAGGGTGGTTGACAAGTCTAGATCAAGGCTTTTAAGGGTGGTTGACAAGTCTAGATCAAAGCTCTTAAGGGTGGTTGACAAGTAGATCAAGTCTTTTAAGTGTGGTTGACAAGTCTAGATCAAGGCTTTTAAGGGTGGTTGACAAGTCTAGATCAAGGCTCTTAAGGGTGGTTGACAAGTCTAGAACAAGACTTTGTTGCTTTTTATAATCAGATGACTCAAACCCATTTCCAAACACCCCCACCTCCCCCCTCTCTCTCTCTCTCTCTCTCTCCTTCATTTGTCACATTTTCAACCCACCGTCATGCTACTGAGTCTGTGCGTACATTAACAGGTTGTTCAATACACCGAGTAATTGGTCTACAGCCGCGACAAGGAAAAATGCTTGCATTCTCTGTGAACAGAATGTTTCTTAGCCTGTTGTTTCTGTGTGTCTGCTGGCGACACGTGAGCTGCTACGATGAAGATCACGAGGAAGAACGTCACGGGGTTGATCCCAGCGGACGTAACGTCACCTGCGACCCAACCAGCCGATACCGGTCGTTCGACGGCAGCTGCAACAACTTGAGGCACCCGACATTCGGGGTGGCCGGCTCAACGTTCCGGAGAATCCTACCGCCAAAGTATGAGAACGGCGATGGGCGAACCCCCAGGCTGACGGGTGTGACGGGCGCCAAGCTGCCCAGTCCACGGTTGGTCAGCGTCACGGTTCACGGACCTGGTAACGATACAGCAGACGACGCGAACATGATGCTGACGCAGTGGGGCCAGTTCTTGGCGCACGATCTGACCAGGACTCTACAGGCGAGCTTCAACGGATCTTGCTGCTCTTCAGACCTCGTCACTTCCGGTGTCCTTCACCCGGACGTCGTGAACGGCGGCCCGTGTTTTCCTATCATTGTCGACAGGATGGACCGCCATTTTGATGATGTTTCCACCAGGTATTAGATAAATGAACATTTTTAAGTGAACAATTATTAAATGAACATTCTTTAAATTATTTTTTAAAAGAATTATTACTATATATATATATATATATATATATATTTAAAAGGAGATTTTATATCACGTCATTTTTAAACACGATTAAGTGAGAGGAATCCCGATTAATTTGATGGTAAACAAATTCTTTATAAACATTCACTTAAACAATACCTAAATAAGAAAATAAATATTTGATGAACATAGAAATAATGCGAATCTTAGACAATGTGTCCAAAATAGTGGTTGTGGCACTAGGAACTTCGCAATTTTACAAAATGATTAAATACAACTGCTTTTGTTTATTGGACAGTTTTTGGTCAGTAATAAAATGCATCGAATAATGAAGTATATGATAACCTAGGAGTGTTCTTTAGTTTCGGAATTATGATGCATAAAAACACTATTGAAAAAAAAAATTATTGCAATTTTCTACACCGCTGCCACCATAAATTCGTATCCGGAAATTTGATCGAAAGAAATTTCGTCGACGGTAAATTGATCGACGGTAATTTGATCGGACGGGAGGTTGGTCGAATCTTTTTGTCAGTTTTTACGTTAAAATTTTGCTTCAAATTTATTTTTGAACGCATTATTTTGTTTTACTATATAGTATAGTATATTATTATTATTATTATAAATAGTATTTGAGTCGTTACGGTGCAAACGATGATTTATATTTTAATTTAAACGTTCACATTTATATCCAAATGAAGAAATATAGGATTGCACAGAATTGAGAGATATATTTAATCACATTACTTAAATGTCAACTCCTATAATAATTTCACAACACCTCTCTTCATTTCGACATCTCACATACAACAAACAGAACATCGATCTACAGTCACAGTTTTTCATCATGGCAGCGCAACTCTCAAACTTGTTGTTCTCACGTGACCCAATCAAACACTTTGATTGGCCAACCAATCTTTATAAGACTCTTGTAAATTAGCCATATCAACCGTCTCTCATCAGTGGTTCACATATTCATAATCATATCCGGGACAGGTCACGTGAGAAATAGCATAAAACACGAACAAAAGTTAAGTTAATATAAATAATTTAATGAACCAAGATTAATTAATTATTTTTAAAAGCAATACCAGAGGTAGTGAATAGGAAAAAAACAAAACAATTTATTACTTTGCTATTGCTAACAGAAAAATACGATTAAAAGTTACACAATTTTAAGATCCACTGAATATCGATACCCAAGACGAATGTTGACACAGCAGCAGGTGTGTCTACGCGGGGTGGTGGGGGGGGGGGATAGATGCCTCTTGCACAGCAGCACTTTCGTACGGGGGTCTCTTCACAGTAGTTAATGTTCTCCCAGACCACTTAGCAGCACTTTCGTACGCGGGTCTCTTCATCGTAGTCAATGTTCTCCCAGACCACACAGCAGCACTTTCGTACGCGGGTCTCTTCACCGTAGTCAATGTTCTCCCAGACCACTCAGCAGCACTTTCGTACCGTCTCTTCACCGTAGTCAATGTTCTCCCAGACCACACATCAGCAAACACGCTCTCTCCTTTACATTTACATCCTTGGTTAGGGAACCACCAAGTAATGGGGAACCACCCAGTAATGGGGAACCACCCAGTAATAGGGAACCACCCAGTAATGGGGAACCAGTAAGGGTTACAAAACAAACCAAAGAGGAGGGGGCTTCTAGAAAACTGCTGACTTTTCATGAGGGGCAGAGAATGTAAAAAAAAAAATGTAAACTATTCACCACAAAATTCACGTCTTGGATATGTTAATCACACACAGAAAAAAAAAGGATAATGGGGTTGTCATTGTGACCACAGACCATTGAAAAAATATATGTCAACCAAAAGTAAGCCCTAGAAAAAAATCTAGCTAGAGGGCATGTAACTCTAGAAGGGCATGTAACTATAGAAGGTCATGCAACTTATCAAGGCATGCAGCTTCATCGGGGTATGTAATTGTATAAGGGCATGTAACTATATAAGGGCATGTAACTGTAAAATGGCATGTAACAATATCAGGGCATGTAACTGTAAAAAGACATGTAGCTATATCAGGGCATGTAAATATATAAGGGCATGTAACTATATAAGGGTATGTAACTATACCAGGGCATGTAACTGAATAAGGGCATTTAACTATATCAGGGCATGTAACTATGTAAGGGCATGTAACTACGGTATATAAAAAAAGGTTAAATTTTATTTTTTTTAAATATCGATCTCCTCGTTTTCTTCCCCCCAGATGTATGGAATTTCAACGGTCCGACCATAGAACAGATCTGACCAACACAAGACAGCAGTACAATGAGGCCACGTCTTGGATTGACGCTTCTCACATCTACGGCCACACCGAAGACAGGGCCAGGTCTCTGAGGTCGTTCAATAACGGGAAGTTGAAAGTCATCACCGTCAACGGGGAGGACTTCCTCCCGGAAAACGTGGAGGCCACGGAGAAGACGTGCTTCAAACTGCAAGCAGGAGATTACTGCTTCAAGGCAGGGGATGTCCGGGTCAACTTTTACCCAGGGTTGTCTGCCCTGCACACCATGTTTCTACGCTACCACAACAAGATCTGCGACCGACTGAAGCCAATACACGGTGATTGGAGTGATGAGATCTTGTACCAAGAAGCCAGGCGACTCGTCATCGCCGTGATACAGAGAATAACATATGATGAGTTCATGGTTCAGATTTTAGGCCAAGCGGCGTCCAAGTACGGTCTCCTGTTTGGTAACTACAGCTACAACTCTTCCATTGACCCGACGCTCTCTAACGTCTTCTCGACCGCCGCCTACCGCTTCGGTCATTCCTTAGTGTCCGACAGCCTCACGATCAACGGACAAGTCGTGGAGACCGGGGACGTTTTCACGAGGCCGAAATTCGTCTTAAACTCCCTTAAAGGCGTGACAGAGGCGTTTCTTAGAGGGCGTTCTCATGGTGCCGACCGCTGGTTCGCCAAGGGCATGACGGACCGTATGTTTGAAAAGCCGAATAAGCCTAAGACGGGATTCGACATCGTCGCTAGAAATATTCAACGAGGTCGCGACCACGGCATTCGCCCTTACAACGACTGGCTGGAACATTTCGGCTTTCCAAGGGCGACCTTCGAGACCATAGGCCAAGTGTATGGACGGGTCTACTCGTCGGTCGATGACGTAGACCTTTACGGTGGAGCTGCCGGCGAGACCAGGGCCTACCAGGGAAGGGTCGGTCAACTTTACTCGGCCATTCTGGGCGCCCAGTTCAGGGATCTCAAGTTTGGGGACCGGTTCTGGTTTGAGAACCTTGATGACGTCAGCTCTTTCACCGCCGACCAGGTTAGTCAGATAGCCGGACTAAAGCTGTCCAGGGTGATCTGTGACACGGTCGCCGGCATCACTAAGATTCAGCTAAACGCTTTCCAAACAGTGTCCCCGGAGAATAGTCTCGCCGACTGTTCAACTTTAGCAGACGTTGATATAGAGCGATTCTGGGTTTGAGACTATATCAAAGTAAAGTTTTTTTTAGAAAATAACAGACTTATTTAATCATTTTTTTGCCCTTCATTTTGCAGTGTGTCACAAGCCTGTGTAGTTATGCTTATGATATTCTTTAAATCATTTTAAAAGTTTAAAAGGCGTGTATTATGACGTAGAGCGCATGTAGTGTGACGTAGTGCGCATGAAGTATGACGTATTGCGCATGTAGTGTGGCGTAGAGCGCTGGTAGCTGATCAAGTTTGTCGTACTCGAAATTCACGTCACACAAACATTTCAAGTCAAGACACTTATGTTGATGCTGAAATACTTGAACAGAAATATGATGAAATTAACTTAACCAATTATGTCAGGTTTTGGGAATCGCTCAAATTTAAAGATGAAAAAAAAATCATCAGACGGTAAATTCAAAAATTGCTGTCACAAGGGTACAAATATTGTCATTTCCTTTGTGGCTAAATTAATTATTTGGCAACGCATAGCATCCTTATTACTAGCAGGTCCATTGCCAACTTCGTTCCTAGAATTCCCACTTTAGATTTTGCTTCAATGGGTGCATACAGTGATCATCTTCCTGAGCGTATATAGACCATAGGTCTCATAGTTCGCATTTAAAGAGAGAGACAAACTTATTGTGTTTGGAATTAAGGAAGCTTGTACTGAATGTACAACATGTCAACACGTTTTCATCTAGGTTAAGACTCACAATGCTGGCTCACCTTAAAGTAGAGTTACCGAACAGCTGTTGAGAGATTGGCCAAAAGGAATACCAGGATGTTTTATTAATACGTAAATGAGATTGGCCAGACAGAATGCCCGCATGCTCTATTAATAGATTTCCACCATTAAATGACAACCATTTTTTTTGTTAATGTCCAATAATCCTTGAAGTCACTCGTATATTTGTGTGCCCTTTCGAAAGTATCAAGCTGTTAGATGAAGAGCAACTGTTTGTTCATATGTGCAATGGAATCAACTGTTTGTTCATATGTGCAATGGAATCAAATGTTTGTTCATATGTGCAATGGAATCAAATGTTTGTTCATATGTGTAATGGAATCAACTGTTTGTTCATATGTGCAATGGAATCAAATGTGTGTTCATATGTGTAATGGAATCAACTGTTCATATGTGCAATGGAATCAACTGTTTGTTCATATGTGCAATGGAATCAACTGTTTGTTCATATGTGCAATGGAATCAACTGTTTGTTCATATGTGCAATGGAATCAACTGTTTGTTCATATGTGCAATGGAATCAACTGTTTGTTCATGTGTGCAATGAAATCAACTGTTTGTTCATATGTGCAATGGAATCAACTGTTTGTTCATAATATATGTAATGCAATCAACTGTTTGTTCATATGTGCAATGGAATCAACTGTTTGTTCATATGTGCAATGGAATCAACTGTTTGTTCATATGTGCAATGGAATCAACTGTTTGTTCATGTGTGCAATGGAATCAACTGTTTGTTCATATATGCAATGGAATCAACTGTTTGTTCATATATGCAATGGAATCAACTGTTTTTGCATACTATTTAACCTGAAAATAATACTAATTATTAGAAGCAATGCTGTACGGAATATAATTAAAATCTGTGTGGAGGGGAGGGGGGCGAAATTGTGTAAGTCCGCCCCGGTAATGTCTGGTCAAGGCACACCACTGATATCAACTGATGTTTTCAAAAAGTGGCCATGGTAAAAAAAGTAGCCATGATCAAAAAGTAGCCATCATCAAAAAGTAGCCATGGTCAAAAATTAGCTACGGTAAAAAAGTAGCCATCGTCAAAAAGTAGCCATCGTCAAAAAGTAGCCATGGTCAAAAAGTAGCCAAGATAAAAAATTAGCCATGTTCAAAAATTAGCTATGGTAAAAAAGTAGCCATCGTCAAAAAGTAGCCATCGTCAAAAAGTGGCCATGATAAAAAAAGTAGCCATCGTCAAAAAGTAGCCATGATCAAAAAGTAGCCTCTACGTCCACGTCCACAGCATATGTCGCTCAGCGCTGCCACTAGTGTGCATTCAACTATGAGTGACCAATCATTGTTGTGTTTACTGAGTGGATGTCATTACGTGAGCGGGAAATTAAGTGAACGCAATACAACAGCTTGTGGGAATGGGGGAGAAACATGGAGGCCGTGACAACGCTGTCCTGTGTAGAGCATTACTCGTGCATTCTGTTTGAGAGGCTGGTATGGGATGTGCTGTGAGGGTAGTCTCGTATACAGTTTGCTTCTGGTATGCCAGCTACTAAAAACTAACACGGGACTTTTCGATATTAAAACTGGATTCTGTAAAACATCTACTGAGATTCCATCACCATGATCATGTCCCTTAGTCCTTGGACCGTTGGGGCGCCACAGATGACATGAAAACTATCCTCTTCCATTCCTCTCTGTCTTCGGCACTTCGCACAGCATCGCCTAGTTTTAGTCCCGTCCACTCTTTGATGGTATCTTCCCAACTTTTTCTTTGACTTTCTCTTCTTCTTCCTCATCTCCTACTGAGATTTACACAGCTAAAAAAAAATAATTCTTAAAAATCAACCGTGTCTAAATTTCAGACAATCGCTTTTTCATCAAACATAACATAAAAGTGTGGAAAAGGGGGGGGGGGGTATTTTTTTTTTTTTTTTTTCCCCTTTTCTTTTTTTTTTTTTTTTTTTTTTTAACTATTAATGTTCAATTATTTTTTTTCTAAAATATTTTTTTTTTATAATTAAAAACTAAAATGTTTAACTGGCAGACTAAAATGTGGCTTCCCTACCCTTATAAAAGTAGTTGTACCTGGCACTGGTCCATTTGTTTCCACTGTAATGATACTTAGCTTTGTGTTCTTTGTTGAAACACCTTTTCGCTCGCTTGACTTTCGACGCATTCACGTAGATCAATAAAAGTGCTTTTGTATTTGCATGCTACCAAAGCAAGCCTATCAAATGACTGCTTGATCGCATGCGTCACTGCGACGGTCGCGTATAAAATGAAAAGCCCATTTGTGGAGACGTTAATGAGACAGGTGGCGTGCTGACGACGAGAATGGGCGAGATTTGGGAACTACGCGCCTTGTGGTTGCTGGGCGTCTGCGTGGTCTTGTGTGCGAGATGGCCGGGTGTCGGGGCGTGTCGGTTCAAAGATGAAATCCGCGAACGTCGCCATAACGTCCGGCGTGACGTCGCCGCCTGCGACCCAACCAGCCGGTACCGGTCGTTCGACGGCAGCTGCAACAACTTGAGGCACCCGACATTCGGGGTGGCCGGCTCAACGTTCCGGAGAATCCTAGCGCCGAAGTATGAGAACGGCGATGGGCGAACCCCCAGGCTGACGGGCGTGACGGGCGCCAAGCTGCCCAGTCCACGGTTGGTCAGCGTCGCGGTCCACGACCCGGGGAACCACACGGCTGTCAACGTAAACTTGATGGTCATGCAGTGGGCCCAGTTTCTCGACCACGACGTGACCAGGACCCCCACGACGGTGGCGAGCGCGCCGTGCTGCACGGCGGAACTCGTCAGGTCCGGTGTCCTTCACCCAGACGTCACAACCGGCGGCCCTTGTTTTCCGATCATCGTGGGCAGCAATGACCGACTGTTTACTGACCTCACTACCAGGTAATAGCAAGCTCGTGCGTGGGTGAAATTTAAAAAAAAAAAAAATTTAATAGAAGTTATTTAACGAAAACTATGATTTTTTTTTTATTTAAAAGTGGACTCTTCTACAGCATTTCCTTAAGCGTGTGGTATCAACACATTTTGAGAAACAAAAAACATTGCATTGCTTAAGTCACCTTTTTTTTTTTTTATAGATACACAATTTTGGTAATAATGTTACAAGTTTTAGCAATAAATATATGTCGAAATATTGTCCAATTTTAATTTCGGTAATATATCTGAACAAAAAAACAAAAAAACTAAGTGGACTCTTCTACAGCATTTCCTTAAGCGTGTGGTATCAACACATTTTGAGAAACAAAAAACATTGCATTGCTTAAGTCACCTTTTTTTTTTTTTTATAGATACACAATTTTGGTAATAATGTTACAAGTTTTAGCAATAAATATATGTCGAAATATTGTCCAATTTTAATTTCGGTAATATATCTGAACAAAACAACAAAAGAACTCCAATGAATAATTTAGATTGCCTTAAACATTCACATTTCAATTTTTTTTTGTTCGGCTGCAAGAAAAACAGCATGTGCTTGGGGAGAGGGAGGGGGAGGGGGGCGAGAAAAAGAGAGATTTAAGAAGCCAAATTTTGTAATGTGGAGAAAAATTAACTTTAGATTTAAATCCATGGGTCACAACATCGAAAAGTAGCAAGGAGGCTTCCAAAAGTAATGCGACCACTTTGGTGTGTAGCGATAGAGCGGACGGCTGAGGACCACTTTACTTGGTATAGCTTTGGGTGCGCGGAAGCGGTTTGCCGATACAGTTTTGGGTTTCCATGTGACCAAGGGTTCTCATGATCTCATCTCTGTGGATTTGGCTTAGCTCGAGAATATATCTTACTATGTTGATTTTGGAAGGGGAAGAAACGTGACACATGACAATTTTGGCATTATAAATTTACAAGAGCACAGGTTTTCCGCCCATGTCCTCAAATTGGTTTGCGAACGGATTTATGTGAGGTCCCTGACTGAAACAATAGACTAAGAGAAGCAGTCATTTTTTAAACCCTTATTTTTTGTTTTTTTATTTGGTGTCTTAAGGGTTAAGTTACCACTTCCAAGCATGACATTAAATACGTTGTCAATTACATGATACTGAAAAATTAAGGTTTGAAATGTTTTACTTTCTAAGAATTTACCCTATTGAAGATTTAAAAGCCTTTTTTACCAAAATTCATTTTGGTAAGGGTCACTTAACTTCTAACATAAATGGGGTCATGACTTGAAAACGCTTGAGAACTGAGATATGTCAAATATTATTTTCCTCAATAGATGTAGGGATTTCACAAGATCGGATCCAGCGGTTGACGACAACGGCATCAGACAACAGTACAACGCCATTACCCCGTGGATTGATGGGTCTCAAATCTATGGCCACACCGAGGAGCTGGCCCGATCTCTGAGGACATTGGTTAACGGAAAGTTAAGAGTCGTCACCATCAACGGGGAGGACTTCCTCCCGGCCGACGAGGCGGCTACGGACGAGACGTGCTTCAAATTGCAACCGGGAGATTACTGCTTCAAGGCAGGGGATGTCCGGGTCAACGCTTACCCAGGGTTGTCTGCCCTGCACACCATGTTTCTACGCTACCACAACAAGATCTGCGACCGACTGAAGGCGATACACGGTGATTGGAGTGATGAGATCTTGTACCAAGAAGCCAGGCGACTCGTCATCGCCGTGATACAGAGAATATCATATGATGAGTTCATGGTTCAGATTTTAGGCCAAGCGGCGTCCAAGTACGGTCTCCTGTTTGGTAACTACAGCTACAACTCTTCCATTGACCCGGCGCTTTCTAACGTGTTCTCGACCGCCGCCTACCGCTTCGGTCATTCCTTAGTGTCCGACAGCCTCACGATCAACGGACAAGTCGTGGAGACCGGTGACCTCTTCATGAGACCGAAATTCGTCTTGAACTCTCTAAAGAACTTAACCGAGGCACTGTTGACTGAAAACTGCCAGAGAGCGGACCGGTGGTACACCAAGGGAATGACCGACCGAATGTTCGAAAAGCCAGGCGGTCCGAAGACTGGACAAGACATCGTCGCCTTAAATATACAACGAGGCCGCGACCACGGACTTCCGCCGTACAACGAATGGCTTGCGTATTTTGGGTTGCCCATAAAGACATTCGACACGATGGAGCAAGGAGCTATCCGGTACCGTGGGGTCTATTCGTCCGTCGACGACATTGACCTTTACAGTGGCGCCATCGGCGAGTTTCCCGTGAACGGCGGGAGTGTCGGTGGGCTTTACTCGCTCATCCTCGGCGACCAGTTCAGGGATCTCAAATTCGGGGACAGATTCTGGTTTGAGAACCTTGGTGACGTCAGCTCGTTCACCTCGGACCAGGTCAAGCAGATCGCCAGGATAAAATTTTCAAAGGTCATCTGCGACACGGTCACCGGGGCCGACGGCATCAAGAAAGTTCAGCTCAACGCTTTTCGACCAGTGTCCAGCACGAATGTACTCACCGACTGCGCGGCCTTCCCCGACCTTGACATTGAACGGTTCTGGGTATGAACTTACTCGTGTCGGCAAATAAATGTAGAAAGTATTCTCCATATGACCTTTCAAACACTTGAGTGAAGGTCGTGTTAGATTTCTTGTATTTTCTAGTGTTGTTTTTTATACCGGTACTGATCTTCCGATATCCATTACTAGCAATAGCAACTTCCCAATGAAATTATCGAAATTTGTTCTGAAATTTTTAAAGTTTGAAATTTAAACAGAGCGATCGCGTTTCTGGGTGCTGTGAAAAGATGTGAACTTAAACGACCTGAGGTTAACATGGTTTCGTTTTCTTACGTCGTATGGCAGATGACGAAGAAAGGAAAACAAACAAGTGTGTGTGTGTGGTGGGGGGGGGGGGCGTTGCATTAAAAGTTCGAAAATAATAAAGTTTTAAAATAATATTTCTTAAAGTTAAGTAACACACAGGATTATCGGGTTTTTCTTTTTCTTTTTCTTTTTTTTTTAAACCCCTGAGAGCGACTCTTATCTAAGATGAAATGATCTATCAAGAGAAAAGTGTCCGTTGTGGGCTGTTAGCTTGGCTGTGGGCTGTTAGCTTGGCTGTGTGCATCAGCATCCTTTACGGTTTGCTGGTCTGAAGCTTTTAGGTTGCCTGACTTTTCATGAGTCGAGGTCACTGGAGACAGTTCACGAGGTCCGTAGAGGCAGTTCACACGGTCGATAGACACAGTTCACGGGCTAGTGGAGACAGTTCACGGGCTAGTGGAGACAGTTCACAGGCTAGTAGAGACTGTTCACACGGTCGATAGATACAGTTCACGAGGTAAGTGGCAGGGTTGCCAACCGTCCGTAAATTTACGGACAGTCCGTAAAGATTTGTCGTAACATTGCCTGTCTGTAAAATTCCGTTAAAAAATTAAGACGTCCGTAAAAAAAAAAAATCGACAAATCGTGGAATCTCAACGTTTAAAACCCCCAGTAAATCATGTTTGTGATATCTAGTTTCTTGATTTAAATTTTAAGTTTTAAATTGTTTTAGTCTATTAATAAACTGTAAGAGCTTTCTGGACAGCTAGGCTCGCGCGGCGAGACGCATCGCGGCAAGACGGACTTGTTTAGACAGATCGTTTTAAGGTCAACATTTTATGTTAAATGTGTCCGTAAAAAATTGTTTTTGTCCGTAAATTTTGTTGAGAGTTCTTATATTTGTCAGTAAATGTTATTTTATTGAGTTGGCAACCCTGGCCTGGTAAGTGGAAACAGTTCACGGCGTAAGTGGAGACAGTTCACAGGATCGATGGAGACAGTTCAAGGGGTAAAGGGAGACAGTTCACGGGGTAAGTGGAGACAGTTGAACTCCAACTTTCACCTGACTCGGAGGGTGTACCATGTGTTGACTTAATCAGTCATGTTTGACCACACCAAGATCAGTTTGGTATTTGAACAAAGGCGTTGGGCCGGGGGGTGGGGGGGGGGGCGATAGAAGGAAACAATAGAAGTCACAGGTGGAGCAAATAGCTCACTGGTTTAGCCCAGTGGTTCTCAACGTGGGATTCCATGGGGGCGGTAAATCACCAAGATCAGTTTGGTATTTGAACAAAGGCGTTGGGCCGGGGGGTGGGGGGGGGGCGATAGAATGAAACAATAGTAGTCACAGGTGGAGCAAATAGCTCACTGGTTTAGCCCAGTGGTTCTCAACGTGGGATTCCATGGGGGCGGTAAAATGCTCAGTAGATTTAGGAAAGACTACACAAGGGGGTGGTGGTGGATTATATCAGGAAACATAAAGAACATTAACATTATACAAAGTTGGACAAAAAATGTTTTACATTGTCGTATCATTAGCGGTCTTGGTAAAAAACAAAGAGGTTTGAATAAATATGAGTCCAAGAGAACATCTAGCTTTTAACAACAACAATAGATTCTTACTAAGGCGGAATCAATATACAGTACACAGGTAATGAATGTACTTTAAATTTATAGAGGACCTTCCGACATGTTTCATTTCATTTTTTGCCCCACATCCATTGGAAGCAGAAACAGATTAATTCTTAACGCTTATTTACTCGAGTGGTGCTAGTAAACATGATTGAGGTATTATCAACGTCAGCTGTTCAAACAAGAACATAAGTTATAGTTTGTACAGAGGGCAATGCGTTGCCTGAGACGGTGATCACTGAGCTGACAGGTGGAGACAGCCTCGTATTATTTCATTTCATGTCTTAGTTTTCATGAACGGTTATTGGCCTTGGTTCAAAGGTCAAATAAGCGTTAAGTTAACTGTAAAAAGAAAACGTCACCATCAAGGTCAAGGTTGTTACCGCGGGTTTGTTCATTATTTTAGAGGAACCTGACATCTTTTTTTTTAAAAAATACTTTAAAATAAATTTGATTTTGTTCGTGTATTTCTTTCAGGCTGGGTAGCAAAAATCTTCGGACGGCTAATTGACCTACTTCCCGTCAACCTATCGAGCTGAAACTTAGCACATAGACTTGTTGCGATACATAGATCTATAAGTTTCAACACATTCTATCAACTTTTCAGCCCTAGCCCCCAAAATTCGGGTTTTTCGTGTTTTTCAAAAGGAAGATGAAGGAACTATGGTGACAATGATCTCACGAAATAAAATTCCCGATAACTAAATGAGATTTAAAACAAAAAAAAAACAACAAAAAAAACCATCGTAAGTGCGCTTGGTGCGCAATATTTTCTTTTGTTCTTTTCTGAAATATTTGGCGAAATAAATCTAAGGTGAAAAAGCGGTGGGGACATTAAATATAAATGTAAAACATTTTTTAAATACATATAAACGCTTTATGTCAAACACGTTTTTTGTAGGGGTTGTTTAATGTATGTTTCAGTCGTCGCCAGCATCAGGTTGATCAAATCTGAATGTTGATTGACTTTCACAATGCGAGTGTTGACGTCACTTTCAGATGCTATTTGTGGAATTTAAAAAAAAATACGTATCTCAGTTTTGACCCAAGAATCAATAGAGATACTTAGCTATTGTCAGACATGATTCAGCTATTGTCAGACATGATTTAGTTATTGTCAGACATGACTTAGCTATTGTCAGACATGATTTAGCTATTGTCAGACATGATTTAGCTATTATCAGACATGATTTAGTTATTGTCAGACATAACTTAGCTATTGTCAGACATGACTTAGCTATTATCAGACATGATTTAGCTATTGTCAGACATGACTTAGCTATTGTGGCTGTAGTGACTCCCTGCTCTGTCAATAACCTGCTTTGTCTAATGACATCCTGCTCTGGGGGAAACCTTATGCTAAGGTGGAAACTTGAACTTGTGGCACCCTGGTCTGGTGTCGCCTTGTTTCATGTGATCAACTGAGTTATTTTTAAACGGACTTGAACGAACGTTGTCAAATTTGAAATTTTCCATGTCATTCCCTTAAAAGGGTTTCATCTGGGGTAGTCCGCACCCTCTAGTGGCGCTACTCTGCCGGCACCCTCTAGTGGCGCTACTCGGTCGGCACCCTCATGTGACCATTTGAACATGGTACGACATACAATTGTATCTGTGCGGCATTAGGACCTTCTTCAATTAAGATGTTAGATTTGGTGTTAACTCTATTTGGAGTGGGACGTGTATTTATTTGGTCGTTTTGACGAATGGCTGATTCCAAGCGGCACTCAAAGCCTTTTGGGAGATCGTATTTCTAGGTTTAGTAGATAAGTTCTTTTTTTTTTTTTATGTTTATTTATTTACTTTTTAAAAATTATTTTTTGGGATTATTTAAATTTTTTTCCGTCAAAATGGCAGAATAAAGTTTAGTCTAAATAAATCAAGAAAAAATATTTAAAAAATAAATAAATAAACACAAAAAAAAAA